CCATAGAAATCAAATTATTTTGCTAAATAAAAATTATTATTATTAAAACTAAATTAATTTTATTGAATTTAATTATATTAGTGAAATAATAAGGGTGAATCAATGTCTTACACTCTTTTACTCAATACAAACTTAGGAAGTACTATATATATTTACTTTTTTTTTTATTAAGAATGATGATATACGTTACAATAGGCATATAGGATAAGTATGAACTAAAAAAAAGAGATAGTATGTAGTTATCACAAATTTTTATATGTGGCTGGCCACATCATGTGGCCGGGGTTACTTATTCAAGGGTTACTCGGTCAATCAGGTGTTATTCTCACACAGAAAACGCACTAATCGATTGAGTAACCTAGAATAAGTAACTCTTGACCGACTGAGTAACCCCTGAATAAGTAACCTCGGCGAAAACGCGTTAACCGACTAAGTAACCTCAAAATAAGTAATCCTTGACCAACTAAGTAACCCCTAAATACGTAATCTCTAAATAAGTAATCTCGGCGATACAGTGTGGCCAGCCACACAGAAAAAGCACCGATTAATAATATAATAAATGTATAACAATTTAGTTAAATCAATGTGTTGAATACTGTAGATAGCTTAGCTTCTACGAAAAGTTAGTAATGAATTCTAATGGAATTTTTATTTTTCTTTTGGGTGATTAATCTAATGTAGTAGTTGGATTAACACATAATTTTATAAATCCTAATTTGAAAACATTACTCCCAAATCCGGCTCAAAATTCACAACCATCTAATTTATTAAAAATAATAAAGTTCATTTATGTATAATTAAATATATAATTAAGATAAGTTTATTAATTTAAGTTAAGCCCTAGATAGGCCATTAGGCCCTTAAAGGCCCTAGCTAGTTGATGCAGGGGACCGAAACAAATGCATAAAGAAAGAGGAGGTGGGAAGACGACTCACACTTTGATTTAATAATTTTATTGATGTTGATATGTTTGATACATGTTGTTTTTTTTAGGAAGACCATACGATATGATGGTACGGTGGTAGTAGTGGTGGTGGTACCCTAAATATTGATCAAGACATGCATATAAATGGTGAAAATTAAACGTGAAAGAATATGTATTAAGGGATTAGTGGTGATTCAAAAAAGTACGAATTTTTATAGATCGCTATGGAACATCTCATTACATTTTCAAATCTTTGACGAAATTCAATTGAATTATTCATTTTTATTAGTAAAAATTAAAAAAAAATATATATAAATCTCTTATTGACTTTGTTTTTAACTTTTTTTTTTTTCATTTTCATTTTCAGTATTCATAATAAAATCAGTTATACGTGTGTATTAAAACATAAAAGACATTATTGGAAATTAATCTTGCATTATATTATCGGTATAGATCGAATATATACATAGGACTTTGTTTGGAATTTACAACTTAGTCACTTACTTTTATTGGTCTTTAAATTAGCATATAATATTTTTGGTATTAGTAACAAACGTACAGTTAATTTTGCATGTCATAGTTATACGAAATAAATCAAACGAACAAATGTGGTATAGATATATGGTGGGGAACTCGATCATCTTATTACTTTGTTCGATTCAATCATCATAATCTTTTACTTCTGAAGAAGTACGTAGTGTATTCTCTCCTCTCTCTAAGCTATTCTCAAGTGTTGACCTGACATATAACTAAATTGACTAACGTATGAGAAATGGCAATTTAGTAGAATCTTTGTCCTAAAAAAATGAAGTATATAGTACAAAGATAATGTACAAAATGAATCAAGGGTTTGAATTTTCGCCGGGACCAGGTGGACACGTCCTCCTAAGCCGAAAGTAGGCTAGAAGTGGAAAGCTTGCTTAACCCAAATTGTCTAACAAGTGTATAGTTTTTTTTTTGTTTTTTTTGGGGGCTAATTTTGCTTAATTATTAAAGAACAAAGTTTCTTTGTAGTACTCATACTAAACTAAAACTACAAAAGCATTAACATACACGCCGAAAATGACCATTAGTAGTCATACTAATTTAGTTAACCGTATATGATAAAGTTTGGGTTAATATAGTTAATTATTTTATCAATGTGATCCGATGATCTACAAAAACCACCAAGTATCTTTGTAGATAGTGACTAACAACTAAACAAGTTCTAATAAAAGTAAATGAAAGTTAATCCTAAAAGAACAATCGATAAAGTTGTTACCTCCATCTTGTTTGTTGTGTACGGAGTAAAACTTTAAGAGAATAAAGATTTCTAGCTTCTTGTGGAGTTGTGGACATGGAGATTTATGTCAAACATTGCTAACCAATCCTAACGGTTGATATTGACGATTTCCATGGAAAATATTTTAACCAAAACTAATTTCTTCCATCTAACTTTAATCACTTACATATCATACCGTCCACGTAGAATCAATTTAGAGTTTCATTTTTAAAATTTATGTCAGTCAAACACCACTATTGTCTATTGATGTTAAAATGTTGAGCCTATGAACAAATTCATACGTGAGTGACAGTATTAATCCCACATTGAAAGAGTATAAAAGTGAAGAAGGTATTAGAATGTGTATCTCACATTAAAAAAAAAAGAAAGTTATGTCCACTTTATAAGGCTAAGGGCTTAATCCTTTCGTCATTGCCATATGATTTTGAGGTGAAACCTCCTTAAACGTATAAAGTGGATACTCGTAACGAGTGTGGCCCAAGCCTTACAAATTTTTATTGTTGGTGTTACGTTGTTGCAACTTGCAAGAAGGTACCAGCTGCTAACGTAATTGGCTACTGATAGATAGGATGTGGCGCGCTCTGAACATAAAAGAAGCTCGAGAGCATAGAAGCTCGAGAGAATATTAGTGAGATTCACTAAACTTTCATGTCATTGTAAATGTGAAGCCCACACATCGAGAATGAATTGAAGTGGATGATTATTTTCAGTAAAGAGAGGACCTTCATGCATTGAGGCTCATATATAGGGCCGGCTTGACCCCCCCGGCCCCTACTCTATCTTTTATGTACATGTTAATTTCGTAATAAAACTTATACATTACTTTAAATAGTATTTTGTATAAATTATTTTATTTCACTTCAATCACCCCAAAAAAGAAATTAAGCAGCGTTATAATTATAGCACCTTTTGATTAAATAATACGTACTAACTAAAGAATTGGCTTGAGTATTTTTTTTTTAATTGCTTTGAGCATGATGATGCCCTACTTTCACTTGCATGTCCAACATTTTGAGGCCTACCACAAGGTCATTATTAAATAAAAAGGTTAATCAATATTCAATTAGTATCAAACTAAATACTTTTCCATGTACAGTAATTAATACTTAATTAATTAACATGCACATACATAAAGATGATAAAAAAAAAACGGTTGCATTATCTATTGAGATTTGAGAATCGATACATCTATTTATTTTGAAAAGTACTTAATGATTATTAACATTTACCATACCTTTATGCATATGATCAATGATGCATGATCTTATGGGTGGATGTTAGCTAGGTAGTTAAGTTAATTTCCAATATATAGAGTATATAATAATCTCATTACGTAAATTTATCCGCCACCAGAAGTATAATTCAGTTGTAAGCACTAAAATTGCGTCATCTACTCATTTTTTTTTTCTTTGGACATTTAATAGAATTCTCTAATAAATCCCTGTTTAAATCAGGTGTGAAGAGAAAAACATATTTATTTGAATACTAATGAGATTTTAGGGGGGGGGGGGGTGTTTGAGATTTCACAATTTGCAATATTTTCGTTTACTTACAATGTTTACGCTTCCTCTCTTTAAGCTTATGAAAAAACCAAAATATAGTAATTTGTCAAATGAAGCTAATACTTTTATATCATGATTGACAATCTAATCTAATCTAATTATATATATAAAGGGGAGTTTTTTCCCGAGTTTTTAGAGTGCCACGTAGGATTTAATTTTTAAAAAATTATTAGAGCGCCACTTAGGATTAATATTCTTTAAACGCTTCAATAAGATTTTTCCACGTAAGATTAGTTTTTTTTTAAAACGCTACGTAGGATTATAAAAAAAAATCGCTATGTAGGATTAATAATTTTAAAACGCTACAATAGGATTATAACATGTAAGATTAATTTTAGAGCGTCACATAGAAAAATGTTATATTTTAGCTAATGAAAAAAAGAATTGTAATTGATTTTAGATCAAAAAATTTATATTAATTATAAAAATAAAATCAGCACGTTTTTTGTGTGGCTGGACATACATATCGTGTGGCCGGCTAAGACACACCCAAACACTAACCGAGTAACCCCTGACCGTCTAAGTAACCCCTGATCGATTGAGTAACACTTAACCAACCAAGTAACTCCTGACCAAGTAATCCCGACCACACAGTGTGACCAGCCATATATGAAGAAATAAAATATTATCTTTTCATATTACGAATTTTATCTAAATATGAGAAACAAAGTTAATAATTCATTTTATAATAAAAAAATTCAAGTAGTAAGCAAGCGAATATCACAAAGTTTATTAGATAAATATATATTATTAAAATATTTTATTTGAAAAAACACAAACAAACCGTGCATCACACGGGGTTCATCTGGTTTTATAATAACAATGTAGTAAAAAGGTGTTAAGTTTTATACCAAATCACCAATTTGATTAATTAGGCCTTAACACACATATGTTACCCAACTTATCAAAACGAGTTGAAGATAAAAAGAACACATTCGGTATAGATAGAACTACAATCCGAATAATTAATACAAAAAAATATATATATTTTGAGCATTTTTATTCAATATAAAATGTAAATGAAATTAGATCACAAAATTAAAATAAGCCTTAAATATTAAAATAGGCCTTAAATAAAATACGTCGAGTCTCAAAAGAAATATATGAACAATCTTAAACCGCTTGAGATTACATCAAGAATACCGACGATGATCAAATCAACAACAGGAAGGATCAACAAAAATCCAACCAACCTTGAAATAGACAGATCAACCTTTTTTTTTTCTTTTTAAGGGAGGGGAAAAATCCAACTACTTTTTAAAAAGGTGATTTAGCATTATTTTTCTTTTTCTTTTTTTTTTTTTTGAGTATTTTGAGAATTTATAATTTACATCAAAAATATCTCAAACACAAAGACAGCAACAAATGGACCACCTAACGGGAAACCAGATTATGCGTTGCCAAAAAACTACCTTAGCCCAAAATTTGAAAAAACTAAAAAGATAAGGGGAAAAAAAAAAAAACACATGGGCCGTTTCGGGGCAGAGTGACGGCAAGTGATCTTTTCACGTTATTAGATGGTCTAGTAACCGGAGAATTAATCGTACGATTTAACTTTTTTATATTCCAATTATTACTCGAATTTGAAATGAACTAGACGATCCAATAATTAGAGAAGTATTATCACACGGAGTCATTACCGCTACCATTGGAACCATCCGATTCAGAACTAGCAATGGCATCGACTAGCCCTTCCGAATTAATCTGGTCCAACACCAACACAAGGCCCATAGCAAAGGCGGCGTCAAAACCGGGCTTTACAAGTAAAGAAAAGACGTCTTTACCCAACACCACGTTAGATGAAGCGTCCACTTTTCTTCGTATTTCGGCCATAACTTCCCTAGTTGTAGCATCATATATGGTACAACTTCTTTGTGTAAATGAACCATCTATTAAGTACTCTTCCCCTGGATTTTGGTACCCTTCTACGGTCACTCCTGACCGTCCGATTATCGATGATCTTTTCACACTAAAGATTGGCTTTGATCCTTCGGTTCTTTCTCCGGTGTAACCTTCCCATCTATTGTGTAAGCTTGGTCTCTGTGATTAATTAATCAGGCTTTAATTAAGGTTTCGCCGAAATTAATTAACTAAACATTAAAGAATAAATCAACATGTTAAGCTACTACATAATTACTCAAAGTAATCAATTCGACCGACATCATTACATAAAATATACTTGTATAGTACGAAAATTAAGAAGGTCAATGCCTCACAACTTGTAATGCAAGTATGCAACTATGCAAGTAGTAGTAATTAGTACAATTCAACTCGTAATTCATTTTCGTAACCTAGTGATTTGTGAAATTTTTCAAAATGTATTTGTAATATACTAATATAATATACTATTTTCAAGCACAACTTATACTCCGTACAAAGTAACTTAGACATACTGGTCCAATAATACTGGTATTAGTATGTACTTGAGAGTGAAAGATTGATATACACTAAATTTTGACGAAACATTAAACACTACTAGTATTACTCCAAAAAAAAACTAGTATTACTCCATACCTATTATGAAGTAATAACATCAGATAATACGTGATTTAGAAATTTAGGTACGGAGTATATTCGAAGTAACTTCTAAACTACATATATCAAAACCGGAAATATAAATTGACACATTGATAATGAATAATGTTACTAATTTCAAAAATTTCGTAAGATCTAAAGAGAACATCATACTAAAAGACGAACCAAAACATGATCATGACTTGACTATACTAAAATTGAGGCTGGGAAAAAATAGCATTTGGAATATTCATTATTTGTGTGTATAGGCTGAAGATAAATTCAATCAAAATTATTAAAACCAGGCATATTTCTAAATTCTAATACATCATTGTTTTTTAACAAAACTGGAACCACAACAAAAGTAGAGGTACAAATTATATTCTTGAAACATCTAGATCTTAATTTGTACTACTTTGTACTATTCTAACTCATGAGTTGACTCTGAGCTAATTGAACGAGTCATAAATAAATTATTCAAAGAATCAAGAATCTAATTGATACCCATTAACCCAAACCACAATTATTTTTAGTGAAAAGAAAAAAACCGTCAAAATAAAGATAATCACAAATACTTAACCCACTGAGTCAACTCAATATTCATACTTTAAAATAAAAATTATGTATAATACACTCAAGGGCGGATCTTTGTTGGGAGCGGGTTGGTAACCAGCCCCGAACTTTATTTTGAGTTATTAGATACAAAAATTTGTTGTTTAAAACAAATTTAGTACTACGTAGTAAATAAAATATTGTATAAGTAAAGTTACGATATGATGGTATGTTTAAATATATTTGTTTTGAACCAGAATAGATAGAGTGAAAAAACGAACCTTGCGACGGACGGTGAGAAGGCAATGACCAGAGGCATCCATAAGAACGATTTCATCTTGATCACGCCAATCGGGACCATACGAGTCGACTCGAAAGACGAGATCACCGTGGTTATCATAAACCGTAAAACCATCACCCGTAAAGAATAGGGATGTTTTACAAACAGTGAAATGTGTTTCTTCCTTGGAAATAAACCCACTTTCTCCCACCTTCATTGTTCCTTTGAAACTTCTTCGTTGAAAAAACTCCGTTTTAAAATAATTAACTCGAGAATGAAAATACGGGATATTAAAGTCTACACCTAGAACGCGGGATAAATGGTGTAATATCTGAGGGGGCCAAAGGTGGATACGTTAGTAAATGAGAATGGGTGATGAGAAATGTACAAGTGCAAAGAAAGGTAGTTGCTCATATAAATACCAACAAATTTGTGGGACCCCGCAAAAATAGGGACTTTTGCTTTATGTCAATTTAAAGAAAAATAAATAAATTAACAGCGAGTTTAATAAATAAAAAAAAATACTTTTTTTTTTTTTTTTTTTTTTTTTTTTGGTTGTAACACGCAGAGTTATTTGAGAATTGGAGACAACTATGCAAAAGTAGGATTCTTTTCGTTATTGGCTGAATCAAATATCTTCCCTTTCAAACTAGTTCATTCTTCTTTGCTCATTCCTCACACTTTCCCTAAGATGGATTTGATTGTTCATGGGATTATGGGAGCATGTCTAATAGTACACACTAATGATCGTATCTTCTAGTGTATATTTTTTTTAATCAAAAAGGGAATATATGATATTATGATACATCATACATTAACAAACTTTATCATTGAGGATTTTGTGAGGTGTAGAACGTAATGTTTTTCACATAATATGATACGAACTGTATGTGGAGGAATCAAAAACATTTGTGTATGTGTATGCTTTTTTTTTTCCTTAATCAACTCATTTAATTTACAATACTCCACTATAAATATATAATTGTGAACTAGAATTTTTTTTTTTTTTTTCCCCTAATCATATACTTGTACTACTCATTATACAGAGTGAATATCAAGGAATATATAGAACTAGATTTGAGGAGAATACTCACCTTTAATCAACAATATTACTATTTTCTAAAGATTTGTGACCAGAAGAAACTAAAATGAAAATTTAGAAACAATTTCAAGTAAATTATGTACTCCGTGTGTTTTATACGAAGTATATCTTTTATTTTGAAAGAAAAAGGGAGTGTGATACTAACTTTTAATATTAAAAAAAATATACTTATAAGTATATGTTATTAATATTACTTTTTTTTTTATTTTTTTGAATTTTAGTGTAAAGAATAATGTGAGTAAGCTATGACTTGTGAAAAAGAAACTTTAAAGAGTAATGTGAGTTGGAAGGAATTGTTAGTTTGTTACATATATTGTAAAATATAAAAGATTAAAAAAAATATCTTTTATTATTGATTACTTTAAAATAAGAAGATTGAATGAAATAAGTCGCATGTCTCAATATCTGTGAAAGATTAAGGATCTGTTATGTTCACCTTATTTTCACTACTTATTTAAGGTCTAATAAGTTAAGATAAATTAATAAGTTCAGATAAGTTTAGTTTAGGAAAAATAAGTTCTGATAAGAGTTATCCAAATTCAATTACAACTAAAATAAGTTTAGATAAGTTTAGTTAAGTTCTGATAAATTAAGATAAGTTCAGTTAATTTTAGATACATTCAGATAAGTTCAGTTACCTGAAAATCAGGTGAATAGAACATATCCTAAGTGACATTATAAAACAATGCATGCTTAGCTTTGATTAATTATAAAAAATTATCATTAAGATGTCAAAAAAAAAAAAAAAAAATCTGTAAGAATATAATTCTGCATTTTTTTTTTTTTGGAAGGGAAATTCTGCATCATTAAAATTACTAGCTATATACATTTAAACTCTAATATACGTACCAGTCAATGATACTGATGTCAACTTATCATTACATATAAATTCAATGTAGTTAGCGGATGTTCTAAAAGGAGCTTAACTAATATTGCATGTAGTTCTAAGTAGCTTTAATTTTGTTGTATAAATCTAAAATATTTTTGGTGATTGAGTTCATTGGTGTACGAGGATTGTGTGCAGTATATCTTCTGGATCATAGTTTGATTTGCTCCTTTATCTTCTGGATTGTTGTACGAGGATTCTTCACCTAATCACCTCATCTCATAAACTTAATACTTAGCAGACCTTATTTTATAAACTTAATACTTAGCAAAAAATATTGAATTAGTCTATTTTACGGTTTTACTGTTAGTCCACCTACTAGCAAAAATTGATATACAAAATTGTCTAATTTAATAGCATGTGCTGTATAAAAATTTCAAAAACTTATATAAAGTGTCAAAAAATTTATATTTAAATTTCAAAAGTCGGGAGGTTCAAAACATATATGAATATATCCTTATTACATATATACTTTCTTTAATTTTGAGAGGAAACTGATATTGATGACACATATGCTAAAAATTGGCTTTAACAAACCTCTATGCTCACACAATGGGTGTGTCAAAATCAATGAAAAACCTTTTTAAGGTGCTAAAATCATTTCACGATATTTAAAAAATTAAATGTTATGCCTACCTTAGAAGTAAGAACACATGTACATTGCCCCTTAGAATAGAGATGACCTTTATTCCTTCAAGCAGGCCTTATTCTTTTCAATTTATTCCTTAAGTCGGTAATCACATGTAATTCATGAATTGAACTATACTTATTGGAATAAATAGGGACATTTTTACTCATAAAATCTTTCAGGTGTTGTTTGGTTACACTAACTTCCCATGGGCACTCAAAATTTCTAGGAAATGCAAAAGTGGTGAGTTGTTTGGTTAACCAAAAAAGTGCAAAATGGAGGAAGTTGGAATTCCATGGAATTTGAAGATCCCAAATAATGCAGGAATTCAATTACCTAGGTCCCCCTAGATCATTCAAAATTCTCATGAATTCTAATTTCCCTAATATCTACCAAATAAGTTAGATTAATTTCCTAGGAATTGCATGAGTGAAATAACTTCTCATGAATTGTAAATTACCATGGGAAGTTATTTCCCATTGCAACCAAACAAGGCCTCAATTGGTTTTTTTTTCACGATTAATTGTGTTAGTTAAGCTTTTTTCAACATTGTTAAATTTTAAAAGCTAAGGTTTGCGTACCTTTATTTGTTTTTAATAAACAAGGTTTTTTTTTTTTTAAATAAAATCAATTCATTAACTTTAGTTGACACGGTTAGTATTATGTGCTTTCTAGTTTGAAAAAAGCATAATCACATAAAATCTTGTTAAATTTATCTCAACATTATGCGTCAACTTTTCTAATGTTTACTTATTGATAGTAGTGGAATTATTGCATTGACAAATGTATGTGTTAACGGAAACACATCAACTACAAAAGAACGGAAAAAACATAACATTATGAGAAGCTATTGCGTGTGGATGTCTGCACGCAAATTTCCTTGCAGCTGGCTTGGCTGATATATGTTTTACTTGTTGGCTGATATGTTTCATATGTTGGTTCATATGTTTCGTTTGTTGGCTAATATATTCTTTTTGTTGGCAGATATATTTTTTTTTCCTTTGTTGTCTGATATCATACATCATTTGGCTTACATGTTTCTTTAGTTGGCTGATATATATATATTTTGTTGGCTGATATGTATATTTTAATTGTTGGCTTATATGTTTCATTTTGTTGACTGATATGTATATTTTGTTGGCTTACATGTTGCTTTTGTTTGCTGATTTCATCCTTTTGATGGCTGATATGCTTTATTTGTTGGCTGATATGTTCCTTCTGTTGACTTATTTGTACCTTTTGTTGGCTGATATATTCCTGTTGTGGGCTCATAGGTTTCTTTTGTTGGCTGATACATTTTTATTAATGTCTTTAATGTTGACTGACATTAAACATACAATTACAACTATTTTTATTTCACTCTCTCTCCTCTTCCTCTTTTTCTTTCTCTCTCCTGCTGGCTGATATTCTCAATCACGCCCCTCAATCCCTCTCCTTCTTCTTCAACCACCGAACCCAAGCCATCGCATCCACAAACCACCGAACCCAAGCCACCGCACCCATAAACCAACGAACCCAGGCCACCGTACCCACAAACCACTGAACCCAGGCCATCGCACTCATAAAACAGCGAACGCCACCACCACCACTAGAGAACGACTCCACCTCTGCGAACACCTCCACCTCCGCATCCGTCATGTACTTTCAAACAGAGCAAATCATCAATTTTGATTCAATAGCAATTTTGATTCAATGCAATTGATATGAATTCTGATTTTGATTTAGATCTAGAAAAAAGGAGGAGCAGAGGAGAGAGAAAGAGAAGGGAAGAGAAGAAGGAGAAAGAAAGGGAAGGCAAAATGGTACTGACGCACGAACTGTTGGGTGCAGACGTCCGCACCCAATAGTTAACTGTAGACACCTAAAAATGTCTCCCCAAAACCAAACCCGATGATGAATAACCTTTCACCGCCATTATTGAAAGGTTAGTATTTAATCTCGGGAGTGCTTAAAACCCATGTTCAGTCAAACATATTCAATCTACAAATCAGCTCAAGCATTTATTCAAACTCAGTCCAACTCACATTTCAGCCCAAACCCTTTTTAATTCATTTCGTGTTATTTATTAATTTAGCCCGATTAATAAATAATAAGTCTAAATAAGCCCAAAACTCTGAAACGACACCTAAAAATCACGTACTTAATGATTAAGAATTAGGGTTAAAATGAATCTGGATGGATTTAGCGCAGAATTAGACACCGTGTCACGACAGACATACCGCGTGACGGTATTGTATACCGTGACGCGGCGTTTAGTTAGGGTTTTTCCGTGGCGCCTTATCATTTCTAGGGTTTCGTGCATCACCCTGCTCATTTCCTCTATAAATACGAGGCTGATTTTCTCAGTTTCGGGAAGACCAAAAATCATTCTCTTTCTCCCGGAACCAACAATCATTCTCTTCTCTCTCTTTAGCCTAAACACTAGCCTACCCTCTTCTCTCACAATACTTCCCTTAAGCACTCCCCGGAGTCCGTACTTTACCCATAGTTCTACACTTAGACTAAGGCGTGAAAGGTAGAATTGTTTGAGGGGTTGGCCCCAAATCAACTCTAGTCTAGTTTAATTTAATTAAATTCCATAATTATTTATTATTTTTTCTTGAGTAGTAACGCGTTTATTATTTTATAGCTGCAAGCAAGCAAAATCAAAGTAAGGAATCATGTTCCTTTTGTTCTTATTATATTTATAACAATTTTTATTATGTATGTCATATATTAATGGTTGGATATTATTGTTAAATTGCTTCCAATGTTGATGTTGATTCTATTATATTTAATATTGCATGTTTAATG